TCAGAACATTTTGAATCTCGTCAATCGGAGTTACGGTTCATGAGATATGGCCAAAACACTGACGATGGGTCAAGCTGTCCAGCAACATCCTTCTTTCTTCAGTCTTCAATCTCCAAGCTTCCAATCACTCAATCCTCTTCCTTTTTCACCCGAGCATGTCTTTTATTGCTGAAATTGAAATATCGAGCTAATTAAGTACCTTTTGTTCATAAAGTGATATAAAATCAACAATAATTAATAAGATAGTGAATGATTTCTATGACTAAATAAACCCATATCAATTCCGATGTCGGGATTCGTCCCAATGCAGTGGGACTAGTCCCAAAGTTATATTATTTGATATATGTGCTTGGTATGGTATGTGGTAGTGTGAGGAAGTTCACTAAGCTTCATGCTTACAGTTTCAATTTTGGTTTCAGGTACTTCAGCCAGTAAAGAGAAGAGCTCGAGCTGATGGCATGACACACACCACTGTTGATTAGCCTGGGAGTCATCTCTGATATTTGTTATGAGACTGTTATATGTTATCAGATTTTATGAGTTTCTGATATACATTTTATTGTTTTACCCTAGGGCAATGATATTTATGTTTGATAAAATGAGTTTGAAAACGAAATTTTTGGCATGTATTTTTGAGATGTTACATTAAAACCCCAAAGCCACAAGTATCTTAAGACTTTCATGGTCAAAATACAATTTTTTAGCAAACTAGACAAAAATACCAAGGAGATAGCCTTACAAAAGAAAACTCAACAAAATCTGTCATTTTATGTAAAAATAGATTTTTAAACAAAAGTGATCATAACAAGTTCAAGACATCATTTTGTGGGGTTTTAACAAAAAAAAATATATGGTTTTAAAACATATCAAGTTAGTTGAGTTAAAAATCCCAAGAGGGGTAAAAATAAGTTTTACAAAGTAATATTTTTTTTTCTAGTTACCGATAAATCTCGTTATAAAGGGGGCAAAAGCTAGAAATAAACTTTTCATACCAATTTTTCATACTTATGTTAGATGATGTTTTTATGATATAATATTTTAAAAACATTTAGACAAGATAACCATTACGTATTTATATAAATAATTAAATAAATAGACTTAACAAAACAATCATTATAAACTATAATTGGTATAGTTTGAGAGTAACAAACACTACTTTATCGCTTCAGACGAAACATATAATTATTTCAAGGTATAATTATTTTTACACTACGTAACCACTATGGAAGAGTGATACTTGCATTTACAAGAAAAAGGGTTTTCATTACACTAGACGTAAACCTGTTAATACAAGGTGTGAGGCACTATCTTCACCGTATCTACCAGAGTACACACTAAAGTCCTGAATTATAACCAGAGTCCCGGTAAGAGAGCATGACACTTGTGTATAGATCTATACAGGACTGAAAACCCCGCACCTAAGCTGTCAGCTACAGTTAGACCGACAAGGTCTAGGGTGACAAATATCTAACATTCTGACACCTGAAGAACGTCGTATCAGGCCACTAGTCGCCAGTATGGTTATAATAATTCACATAGGGTGTTGACAATACATTTGGTTTACGACGTTAACATACATTCAAATAGTTTTGTATAAAGATAAAACTTCATAATACTATTTTCCAGTACAACACTACTTACATTTTTGGTCTTGGGTTTAAGACTTACAGTTCATTTTTAAAGAAAATAATGGATTTTCTGAAAGCGTACTCTATCATCCTTACAAGGAAAAATTACCGATTTTTCGCATACAAAACTCTTATGCACTCACCAACTTAATTGTTGACACTTTTTCAAAACTACTTGTATTATCAAGAAATCAGTAGACAGGTAACCAAAAAGGTTTTGAGGATGGGGTGTCCCAGCGTCACGTCATTTACTTTTGTCATATGTATATGGTATCGAGTAAACAATTTTTGGATACAATGTAAACTCACTATTTATCAATACGGTTGTTGTATGGCTTTGATCACTATTATTCGTTTCTTATGATAGTGTACATGAAGTCATTCACCGCCTGACGTTTCTGTCGTTCTGGTTTGGTGGTGTGAGAGATTGGCATCAGAACATTGTTTATAGTAAACTAAGTATATCAAACCATGTAAGATATACAACTATAAATACAAGGGGGGGGGGGGGGTAAAACACTCTGACTAAGAAGTATACTTTAAAAATATAATAGTATTTTAATAAAAGTATACATACATGCATACATACCAGGACAGTGCCGTAATAAGAACCATATGAAAAGTATTAAGATACGTTGGACGCTACGATTAAACCTAGATGATGTGAAATCATATATGGGATAAAGGGCCTGATCAACCATATTTATGTGAGATATGACTAACATGTGTTTAAGAATGATCGTGATGGACAACGAATTTAAAACTTACCAACCCTATATACGAAGAAAGTCTAGAATCAAATACGGTTTAAAATACTACATGAGTATTTTAGAGTACTATAGAGTCAAAATACTCTGTTTATGGTCTTGATCTTAAGACACATTAGTGTTGATGTTTCTTCTTCATTCTATTTGTTGTTTAAAACCTTAATATATGTGCCTTCTTTCTTCCTCTGTTTCTTTCTATCTACTGTAGAATTGGGAAGGATGCGATAAGGGATACATACACACACCCTCAGATAGATCTTTATCTTTCCGTATGTTCGCGCGCGCGCACACACACACACACATCTGTCACCCTCTATCCTTTTGATTAAGTTTTTTTTTTTTTTCATTTCTTCGACTTTATCTCTTTCTGATTTAGGTTTTAACTTCAATTTTAGGTATGATTGGGATTTTTTGAAATATAGGGTTTGTGATCATAACATGAAGTTCCCTGTTCAAGCAGTCTTACTAAAATCTTTTAGTTTTTTGAGTTGATTTTCTTTAAATCCCTTTTTACACTAATATTTTTGATCTGGTGCAGAATTCACAGATAGTGAAAAAAGTGGGGCTACATGAATAAACAAAATGTTTTCATTTGTTACATGAGTTTTTTTTGTACCTATAAAAGTCCAAAACTCTAAATGCACAAGTTAAGTATTTGATTTTTTTTGTCATAAGAATGGTATTTTATGGGATTTTAGTATTTTGGTTAATCTTTTTTTTTTGTTGATGCTTGACCGGAAGGTTCAATCTAATTAAGAATCGGACCCAAAGTTTTTCTCTCATTCATTGTTGATGGATGATCATTTGTTTAATTGCTTTTAATTAAATTTTATCAGTTATACTATGTTTTTGTTTCCATTATTTTCTGGAAACAATGTGGAAGAATTTTTTGTTTTAGTCAAAATTGGGTGATCACTTCAGACAATCCAACTTGTGGTAAAGGATTTTTGATCTTATAAGTATTCTTATTGTTGGTATGGATTTAGTTAGTTGTTCAGAAAAATATATTGTTGATATGGAACATCTTTTTACATTTTACTTTCTTCAGGTCTTTTTTTGTTCTCTCAATTTATAAATGTTGATGTTTGATCTTATGTGTTCAACAGCCAGGCTAATGACAATGGATCTCAATCTTAAGTTTACCAGTTGCTGGAAGAATGATATAGACATGGTTAATTTTGGAAGAATGATAATAAACATGATTTTTCAAACCCTTTCCCTCCCTCTTACTCTTTCTCTGTCTCTCCTTCATACTTCAGTAATTGGTCTCCAAGTAACGTTAACCTAACTTTATTTTTCCTTTGTTATCCTTTATAGAGCTGAATTTTAACCCCTATTGGTGCACATACGTGTAAATGCATCATATTGTGCCCACTAACTATTTGAGTTTATTTGTTATAAAACTTGCTCTTATATAATGTACATTTGTTTAGGCCAAATGTAGCCAAGTAACTTCTTTTTTCCTAAAAGATTAATGTTAATTGCATTTTCATGGTTATCATTTGGTTTTACTTCTTTTTCCTAAAAATATTATAATAAGAACCATAAATGTGGTCTCTTTTTGTACCTTAAGAATTGATGGTTTATTATTTTTATTCATAGTCAGTTATTGGGATATTATTAGTGTCATATCCTTCCTAATTATCAATCCTCTTTGTTTATTGAATTTATTGAAGGTGAATGAATATTTGAACTTATTCAACTAGAAAGTTAGTATTAATGAGAAAGGTTGTAATTTTATTCATTTTATTAGATCGGAAGAAACATATATCATATGCAATTAAAAATTGTACTAGATGCAATTTAATTTATCATATACATAAAAAAAACTCATTTCTCTTTCATCAATATTCATAGATTTACGTGTGTTTGTTGTAGTTATCTTAATACTCGGACCAATGTTGAAATCAAAAGAAAATATACAATAATTTTGTGTGAATTTCATGTTGCTATCATGAACCAATAAAGCTTTTCTGACACATTTCTAAAGTTTGTTAGTTTTTTGTATTGTATAGAATACAATTTTCTAAATTTTATGACTTTAAAATTGAACATATAACGTTGTATATAAAAAAATAAAAAAATACACTCATTGAAAAACAAATCATTTATAATATATTGATAAATGGATTTATATAATTTACATATATAGTCTCTGTTTTAATATCTTAATTGTCTTAAATGGTCCCTATTTCATAGTTTTCTATAAAAAAAACCAGTTAAAAATTTACAATTAATTTAATTTTTTCACAACATATGTTATAATACTAATGATTTTCCAATTCATTTGTACTTGTAATAATGGTTTTTCTAATTTGTACAAGTTCTATACCTTATGTTAATATTTTCTTTATGCAACATATTCTATTAAATTATATTTTTTAATTGATATTTAAGAAAATGAAAGTGTTGAACTTAAATTTAAAAATTAAATAAACAATACATAAACGTTTTAATTATTTATTTATTTTAAGTTTAATATACATTATTATTTACAAAATAACTTTTTACTATGATGTTTTTAAATAAACTACTTCAAACCCTTTTAAATATATTCATATTGGACATGGTTTAGGACTTTAGGCCTCTACTTTAAGCCCAGATAGTTTAGGCTCGTTTGGCCTGCTCGATGTCGATGCTAATGACCGGTGACGTGACGTTTACCAGCTATTTTGTCCCAAATTAATATCAATCCACCGATAGTCGACGTCCTGGCGACTGTATTTCATCTCTTTATACTGATTCCTGTTGTTTACTTCACTTAAATTGGTTCGTTTGCAGTTCCAGTGAACTGATTAGCGTTTGTACCTCTTTCTTATCTCCAATCCCCAAAACCCCATTTTGCATGTAAGAATCTTCGTTCCATAAAAAGGGGTTTGATAGTATTCCGATTAGGATATATGATTATTTCAACAACCATGGCTTCGTCGATGCTCTATGGAGGTCAGCATCTTACATTAACCCCGAAAGGGTTAGGGTTTAATGGGTCAGATTTGCATGGTAGGAATTTGCTGAAGATGAATTTGGTTGGTAGAAATTGTAATTTTCGATCTAAAACGCTAGTTGTACCCAAATGCAGTGTGTCTGTACCAAGGCCAGCTTCACAGCCTAGGTTCATACAACATAAAAAAGAGGCATTTTGGTTCTATAGGTTTCTGTCAATTGTTTATGATCATGTGATAAACCCTGGCCATTGGACCGAAGATATGCGAGACGACGCACTGGAACCAGCTGATCTTAATAGCCGCGATTCAATAGTGGTGGATGTTGGTGGAGGCACTGGGTTCACTACTTTAGGTATTGTAAAACATGTCGATGCTAAAAACGTGACAATCTTGGATCAATCGCCTCATCAGCTTGCAAAAGCTAAAGAGAAGGAGCCTTTGAAGGAATGCACGATTATTGAGGGAGATGCTGAAGATCTTCCTTTCAAAACTGATTATGCCGATAGATATGTGTCAGCCGGAAGGTATAGCCTCTAATAAATGTTCATTTCTATGTGATTACTGCTATTTGTGTAATCATTAGATAATCATATCATATAATTAATTGCTTGAGGGGGTCTTTGGATGTGTGATTAAACCTATGATCGTGACAATCGAGTGTCTCTATAAATTGATTATATGATTTCTGAAATGGTGAATACAATAAGTTATGAATAGTCAATGAAAGAATTGGCAAAAGAAAGATGATTATTGAGATACATGTAATTGCCCAATTATCCATATTATCTTATTCCCCAAATGGTGAAAAGAATTGCCATATGCCCAGAAAGATGCATGTTTAGTATCCAATTATATGTCCTTTGGAAACATATGACTTGAAAGTGGGTAGATGTAAGTATCACCCCTGTCCAATTCAAACACAGTACAACTTGTTATGTCATGTCAGTCAGTCCAATTCAAATCCAAAAAACAATACAACCTGTTACGTCATGTCATTATTCTGACCATATTTCTTTTCAGCATCGAGTACTGGCCAGACCCACAACGAGGCATCAAAGAAGCATACAGGGTTTTGAAGATGGGAGGGAAGGCTTGTTTAATCGGACCTGTTTATCCAACATTTTGGTTGTCACGTTTCTTTGCGGACATGTGGATGCTTTTTCCTAAAGAGGAAGAATACATGGAGTGGTTTGAAAAGGCGGGATTCAAAGATGTTGAGATTAAAAGGATTGGCCCAAAATGGTATCGTGGGGTCCGCCGACACGGTCTCATCATGGGATGCTCTGTGACAGGTGTCAAACCCTCATCAGGGGACTCCCCTTTGCAGGTAACCAACCTCTTCTTCCTCATTACCAATAATAATGATATTGATATGGTTAAAAAGTGAATAATAATTTCAAAAAAGGGGTTTTTGTAATTTTTGTTGCAGCTTGGACCAAAGGTAGAGGACATAGAGAAGCCTGTAAATCCATTTGTGTTCTTTTTACGTTTCCTTCTTGGGGCATCAGCTGGAGTGTATTATGTTTTGGTTCCTGTTTACATGTGGATCAAGGACCAGATTGTGCCAAAAGGTCAACCAATATAAGAGACTGTTTTTAGTTTGTGTGCAATGTTGTTTTGTTTGAACTGCAATCTTTAAACTTTCTAGAATCGAGATTATCAAGCATTTGTTTTATGAAAACTGAAAAGAGAATCTAGTCTTTTGGCCATGAATTATAAGTTGCGACACTCACAGAAATGCACACATGGACTCCACATCACAGCCTATATGGACAAAGTTGCCACATTTTATTATTAAGAATAAAACATAAACAAGATACCCAGATTCTTTCAAACTCAAAGCCCTCCATCTGTAGCGATTTCACCATTGTATGAGATTAGTTTTGTCGATTTTTGTAACTAAGAATATGTCTTTGTATTCTTGATTTCGTTGGTTTGAATTCAACTTGGAAATTCGTTTTGGAGGGTCACCATGTTGGACAGCTTTTTGAATACTGTCTAAGATGTGAATGTGTATCATCACTTTGGATACTTAATAAATAAAATCGGTAGACATTCTCTCTTTACTCCTACTAGTTTGCATTTGAAGCACATGCTTAGGGATTAAGATAAAATTTTGTCGATTTTCTTAAGTACTTAGTGTGTTGGTACGTATGCGCTATATGATATGAGATCCGAGTATTCAAAAAGTTGGATAGATGGCCACCTTTAAACAAATAATAGGGTTCATATATCATGCATACATCACAATAACATATTCTCATAATTATACTATAATGTTTCTTTAATCTAACTTTTATGTATAAAACATAATCTAACATTTTTTTTAGATAAACACAAGGTAATTAGTCATGTATTTAATATACACATAGTCTAGCTTTTATTAATGAAATGGTTATGTTAGTGAAATAGTTATGATGATTGATACAAGTTAAAATACAAAAATCGGAGGTCTTCATATTTCTTGAATCGTCGTGGCAAATTTAAGGATATTGTCAAGAAACATGTTGACAATAAAAGCAAAATGTGTTGCCCATATACAAGTTGTTGTATATGGTTTATGCCCACATATATGATTGTAGGTTTCTAGAATCATATAAGACATGAATTTACTGCTTAACAAAAATTATTCAGTTTCAACGACATTTTTGGGTCTAATAAGAAGTATTGCAACAACGATTGAAATGTTTGATGTACTTGATGATGTTATTGCGCAGTAAAACACAAATTAAGGAAATATAGATGGATAAAGAATTGGTTTAGACTCAGAAATTTGATGCGTTGTTAAACAAGCTGAAAAGCGAGTTATGCAATCATTGTAGTTCCATGTTCTCCCTTAAATTTCCAGCAAAATTGGGTTAGTATCGACATCAATAAAAAAAAGTGTCGTGTCTCGATGATCCTTCTCCAAACGGTAATTGGAAGGTTGTGGAAGAATTTAACAATCGTAAAAATAGGGATCGATTACATCATCGGATGTTAACGTTACTATTGAGATAGATTTCAACATATGCTCATCTAATTATGAGTTGGTTGTCGAGTTAGGTCGCTTAACCTTTGTGACAACTTTAAGTGAAGTAAGTCAATTAAGTGTGGTTGTGAGAGTTGTGATCCCCCTTTTATGGACAATGAAAGGCAAGCTTTATTATCGATGATAATGAATACATTGAAACATACACTCTATATGATGAGGAAGAATTAATTGATGATGTAAATGATGATCTTGTTGACATGTATTGTCCAAGTGACAAATTTGATTTAAAGTATCATATGGTTGTTTTAATTAGCAATTCTAATGAATGACCGAAGTTTCTTGACGCCACAACTTGAGTCATATAAGTTATTTATTCCATTTAAATAAGTCTTTATATTGAACATATTTTTTTCGCAAACTTTTCAATTCCATCTGTTGATATAACACGACAACATGAACTCACAGGGATGGAACAAACTTGAATCTCCATGATGAAATGAAAATGTCTCTCGGTCCTGAAACTCAAGTAGCAAAATGTAACCTTTAAAAAAAGTCAGAAACTTATATAACATTTCACAAAAGAAAAACTATGACTTATTTCTAAACAGTATCATAAATATATCATATAGATAAAAAATGTATAATACCTTCTGATTTTCGACACTGTAAGACAATTTAAAATTAGAAACTTTTAAACCTCAAAGTTGAATTAAAAATGGATAGATTGTTGCTTCAGTCTTATGAATTCGAGAAAACAGAATCAGCAAGAATGAAAAAAAACTGATTTACTTTACATAACATTATAAATGTATCATATAGATAAAAAAAAATGTATAATACTTTGTGATTTTCGTCCCTAGACCAAGTCCCAATTTCTGATTTTCGAAACCTCACTTCTGATTTCAAACTGCATCATATTTTCGAAACCTCACTCCTGATTTTATTTTTTTTAGATTTTCTAAGCCTCATTTCCGATTTTGATTTATGATTTTTTAAGATTTATGATCAAATAAGTATGAACCGAAACCTCTGATTCAACGATTTCCTCTTGATTATTGTGGATTATGGATTTTCTTTAGAATGATTTCTTCTGGATTTAAGCAAATAAGAACTAAGAAGAGTAGAGGACCATTGTTGCTAGCCATCATTAATTGGTTCTCACTCCTCTAATTTTTAATAAGAACCGAGAAACCAATTGCACGATCTATAATACATTGATATTTAGCAGAAAAATTGACATCAAGATTGACCTCATTGCCACTTTAATTCTTCTCTTTCTTACAAACTTTCTATTGTTTCTCTTATCGATTCATTTGCAGTCTTGGTAAACTAGTAGACCTTCTTATCTCCGACTCAATATATAAATTAACACCATTGGCATATAATAATATTTAGCTCAACATAGAGTTCTAGTTCATATAAATATTCCTATTAGGTTTCTTGTACGTTTATATCAGGAATCATGGCTTCTTCAATACTCTACAAAGCTCTGATAGAAAATCGGGGTGTTTAGAATACTTGAAAAACTTAGAGTCATGAATTACACTTTCAGATCAAAGTATTTTGATGGTACTCTCGAAATCTTTAGATCGGATAAAACTCGGTGTATATCAAGAAAAAAATGAAAAGATGTTATGATCTTGTGATGTACGGAAGAAAAAACGAGAATGAATAATATTAGGAGATAACTCCTTTGTTTGAAAACTACATTGTCTGAAAACTGCCAAAAAAACACCATATGGCCGTTTCATAACCATCGCAAACTATCAACAAACTGTCACAACAATCGGGTTCAAGATTAGGATAAAAAATCGAGTCATTTTTCCAAATTCGGATTTTAATGCATTTTCCACAAAAGCAATATTAAACTAAATAAAAAAATTCCATTGCAAAAGCTAAAGAGAAGGAGTCTTTGAAGGAATGTAAGATTATGGAGGGAGATGATGAAGATCTTCCTTTTGAAACTTATTATGTCGAAGATTTGTGTCTCCAGGAAGGTATATATAGCAACCTCTTTCTTGACTATGTGATTTTTTCCACTTACAAGGCATTCTGACCATTTTTTTGTAACATTAAGTACTGGCCAAACCCACAACGAGGCATCAACGAAGCATTGATGATTTTTTTTGGAAATGGAACTTCCCTAACGAGGGTTTCCAGGTCAGCTTTCGTGCACCGACTAATACCCTGCTGCAAACATGAAGCTTTGCCTCATGCCTTGGAGTCACTGCAGGCGAACCTCCATGGCCACAAGGGCTGAGTGGTGCAAGGATTTGAACATGGGTCAATAGGTTATCCATCGTATCTTCCACATGACTTACCAAATCACCATAACCCAAGTGGATTTTGAAAAGAGGATGGAAGGCTTGTTTAATCGGTACTGTTTATCCAACATGTTGGTTGTCTAAATTATTTGTTGACATGTGGATGTTGTTTCCTAAGGTAGAAGTGTAGCATTCTGTTTCGAGAAGTTTACTATTTCGGGATTATGGACAATAAATGGACCAAGTAAAGGCCTTAATGTAACATCCCCACAATCACGATAAAATTTTCATTTTTAAATCAAGAGAAACCATTATCTTAAGATAAAACCCAAATCAAAACCAATCATTTACAAAACATTGTTCTCAATAATAGAAACCATAAATCAGAGTGTCCTAAATTAGTATCATCATAAATCTCCAAAATTTATATTGTCGAAGAATGTGTACAATCATGTCTTTGCTTTCCTACGATCATATGAAGTACCTGAAACATAAAACTTAAAGCGTCAGCTCGAAGATTAGTGAGTTCCCGGTATAAGTGGTTCTCTCTGGACGTTGGGTCTTATACTTCTGGTTACGGTTAAGCATTTTCAAGTTATTGGGTTGTTTGTTGGCAATTGCGGTTTTCCGATTGGTTTCTCAAGTTTTCTTTATATGAAGCCTTGACTTTGAAGTGGTTAAAGGGAGTTGTGGAATATGTCAGCGTTGTGTGTGTGTCTTTCTCTACAACGGCTTTTTAGCAGAGACTCGTGTTGGGAGTCGCTTCGTTTTCAAGTGGAGGGTTTAACAACAGTGAGTAGTTAGTCAAGGCATTGGATTTTTGGATTTTGGGCAGAGTAGTAATGTTTATTCTTCAAGGATTAAATATAGTGGGTCAAGGATTCACTATTAGCCAGGATATGTAGTTCTTCTAAGACTGGGTTTCGATTGTTGTATAGAAAGGCAGTCACTTGTAGGAGTCGTATTCTCAGTTCGGATCGAGGTTGTGGAGAATTGTCCAATGTTGGGTATGTCTGATGAGTAGTAAGGAGTGACTTCGAGGAAGAAGTCTGATTTGAGTGGGAGAGAATTGTAACATCTCGATTTCCAGGAATTTTTGTTTTCACCCTTGGTATGAGAATTATTTGCAATTTGGTCCTAAATGGCCTTTGTGTAATTTTTGGAGCTGCTTATGTATGTTGGGCATACCCAAGTGTACGTGGAGCGTACATGGCATGGACCTAAAACCTAATACTTAGGGTTTATGCACTATTTATTCATCCTTAACTTTCAAGCCTCCTTTCATCCATAATCCTCCAGCCCCATTCCGACCCCTATGCAAACCCTAATTCATTTGAGAGCATTTTTGTGTCTTGAGTGTACATTTTGGTGTTCTTGAAGGAGGAATAAGGAATAAGAACCCATCCTAGAAGAGTGGAGCATTTTAGGTCCAGAATCACATCACCATTTGACATCATTTGAAGGTAAAAAGCTCTAAACTTGAATGGAGTATTGATTAGATCTTGTTTAGCCATGGATTTGTATTCTTTTAGTCTCATAAGCTTAGTATTATGAGTACGGGTCACTCTATATCATATAAGCTATCCTTTTAGATGTTTTGTTGGTCTTGGTCATTAGTTCCCTTCCATGCAAGAACTAGGATCTCTTAATGGGTTATCAAGTTAGGGTTTTTGGTATTGAGCACTTAATAGCCATGCAAGACCATAAACTTGGAAAATTTATGGTTAAGGACATCATTTCAGGACTAGATATGAATTTTGTGCGAAAGGGTTTAAGGATTAAGCTCTTAATCGAAGGTGCGGCTAGATGACG